TTGTAACAGAAGACATTTCGCTGCTCATCCGAGGAGCTTTCTCAATTCAATGATCAAACTCCCGCACTGCCCCTAGGGTATCCTTCCCAAAATGCTTAGCAATATGCTATATAATATGCGGGAGTTTGAGAATTTAATTGAGAAAGCTCCTCGGATGAGCAGCGAAATGTCTTCTGTTACAAATAAAGTCCAGTTGTTTTTGTATTGAACGTTTTTTGAAATTTTCATGTCCTGGATGACTAAGAACCTTCACCAGCACTTCAAAGTAACACTCGTAGGCAGGGACCTGGAGGAGGTTGGACGGGTCTGAAGCCCCATATTTTGGGAAAAAAACGAATGTTGACAACACACAGTTTGTGCAGGAGGCTGCCTGAGGACTTGAGCAGTGGAGCTAGCATAAATATATAAGTTTCAGTAAACACATCTATTTGCAGATGTAGTAGCAAGTTAGTCTGATTGTCAAGTGGGAGGATGACGTTTGATTCCCTAAAAGGGTGCTTCATTGTTGTTTTTATTATTTAATCTATGCTCTGCTAAAGAAACTTAGTGTTTGCGCTTGGTGATATTGTAATAAAAATAACCTTTGTAGTTTCTAAAGTTCCCTCAGGGTCTCTTCATTGATTTTTAAAGATGTTGTGTTCAGTGGACAACATCAAACCCTGAGTTTCAGCTTGCATTAGAACAGTTTGGAACTCAAAAACACAATAAAGTAATTGTATTACGGGCGGCCGTGGCTGAGTGGTTAGAGCAGTCATCCTCTAATGCAAGAGTTGGGGGTTCGATACCACTAGAAGTCACATGCCGAAGTGTCCCTGGGCAAGACACTGAACCCCTCATTGCCGCCAATGTGTGTCCCATCAGTGTATGGATGTGATAAAGCTCTGATTATTCTTTGTATAGATCTAGTATAGAGCTGTATGAATGGGTAAATGAGGGCTCAGATTGTAGTGTAAAGAGCTTTGAGAGTCTGGATAAGATAGAAAGGCGCTATCTAAGTACAATCCATTTATTCCAAACAACAATACATTATTTTTCCTTTCAAGTTTATGCAAAGTTTTATTACTCGTCCACAGGTCTAGTCAGGTTCACTTTGACCACAGGTGTGTTTTTATCTCCTCTTAGACCTGCCAGAAAGGTCTGAGGTTTGGCCATGTTGCTCCCTCCATCTGTCTTACTTTGACATGCAGCGTCTTTAGGAAGCCAAGTCTGAGTGATGTTGTCCTGCCTCATAAGGCTCAGGTCAGTCTGCACCGAGTGGGTCACTTTGGTCCGAAGATTGTCCTGAGACCAAAGACCAGAAAAATATTTGTTAGAGTGAACACCGTAAACAGTACGGTGGGTGTTGTTAAGTGTCATGTTCTATTTAACCCTCTTTAGGGGAACAATTAGCCACACATTTATTTTTGTTTGTGTTTTTTTTTTATTTTTTATATAGGGTGGGGGGTTGTGTAGTCAATAAGCATGATTTTTTATTGTGACAAAGCCTAAAAATCCTCTTTTTTATTTGTTTTTATTTTGGTAGAATTTCTTTATATGTTTTCACAACCTCATAATAACTTTACTAAACTATTGTGTTCCTGAGGGGGAAAATGGACCATATTAATACACTGTAAATGCAAATCTATATCCTATATTTATAATCAATATTTATCGTAAAAAAATATATTGCATTCCTCTCAGTAATTTTTTTTCTTTTTACCTCTATCAATATACTTTCAATTATTATATGAGTTCACTAGGTAGTGCTCCACTTTCATATTTGGAAGACAATGTTTAAATCAGTCACAGGGGGCTTCCCTAAATGCAGTACGTTCTCTTGGCTAGACCTCTCTGTGGAGGCCTGCCTGTCATCTCATCAAAAAAATTATCAGTTTGAAAACAAAGAGAAAA